TCCTCATCCGCCTGCTGCTCTCCCCACTCCGCAGAATTTGCCGTTCCTGGTGGGTCGTTTCTGCCGTCCGCCGCCTGCCGCAATTCGTCGTGGAGCGCCATTGTCCTCTGCCTGCCGACCTCCAATGCCCCTCGATGTTGATGACCCCTGTCTTTGACCACTCGGTGCCACAACATACTCCCCCATGCATCCCTCAACGCACGCAGCCAGAACTCCTCCTCCTCCTCGTCGCCCCATCGCGCCCCCACCCATCAATTGCTGAACCGCTGGGCCAAAATCACGCGATCGACTCAGCGCCCGAAGCTTCGCTGCAAATACGCCCCGCCTGGCGGTAGGTGCTTGCCCAAACCGCGCGCGCACAAGCGCTGCCACCTCCGGGTTCCGCACGGCGCGCCTAACCGCCCGCGGCCCCTCGTGCGCTGCCGCAAATTCCACGTCGAGATGGACCGGGGCTAGGATGGCGAGAGGAACTGCTGGGCTCATGGAATACTTGTCCGTTTTCCACAGATCTTGCACGGCCGCCGCCCTGGCCTCACGGGGCGCCGAAACGTCACTGACAAGATAGCGCGAGCCTTGCCAAACAAAAAAAAACGCCTGAGCCTGGGTAGCCCGAAGCATCCGTGCACGATCCGCCCGTGGCCGGGGCGCCATGCGCGCGCGTCCAGCTGTGAGTTCCCATCTCTCCAGACGCTCAGTTTCCAGCTCGGCAGCGGTAGTGGGCCCTGAACGTGCGACCAAAGACCCGCCTGCAATGCGAAATTCTGCCAGGTGCTGCACCTCCTCGCCATGGGCCCCCTTCGCACAGACGCCCCCGAAGGTAAAAACACTTCTCCGCATTTACCTCCCCGCCTCCAGCGGCGCAGCACGCGCGCGCGCCACGCTGTGGAGCCCACGTATCCCTTCCCGCACTCCCTCCTTCGTCTGCGCCACCGTCACAGAAGATATGTCATCAGCGTAGGATATGTCTGTTGCGGTGTCCTCTTTATGTGCGCCAGACGCTGCTCGGCGCATCGCCTTATACAATGCCGTTATGGGCTTTAAACCAATCCCCGACCAATCCTTTCAATCGGAATACTCTCCGCAATCTGTTGCACATGCCCCGTAACGGCCCCAGTATATGCTGATGCATCCCCGTGCGTTCCAGCAGCTGCAGCGCAATCCCCATGGGGATGCGATCGAACACCTTTTTGGGGGAATCGTGGCTGGCGCCACCCGCGTAATCTCCTGCACCGCACGCCGCAGCCTAGACATCCATAGCGACGCTCATCACCATTCCGCACTCCGACCCGGCCTGCAGCCGTGCATATTGTCCGGGGCACATTTCTCCTGCCATGGGAGACAATCCTGAAATCTCGTCGCGCTCCATACTGTAAATCCCACTCGACACGCGAGGGTCGGGTCCTTAGGGAATCAGCGCCACGTGACCTTTGAGCACTCCTGTCAGCCATGCCCCCGTCGTCTCCACCCAATTAAGAATGTCTGCGAGGTCGCGGAACAAAGAAAGGAACTACCTCCCCAGTGCACTGAGTTCCTCCGGACGCCACTGGTCCAGGCTGCAGGCCGATGGTTTTGCTTCTGTTGCTATCCGCGCTATGTCCGTCCACTTCAAAGGAGAAAGCTGCGTCGAGTAAGATTTCAAAAACGGCCTGAAATGCACCAAAAATCCCTCCGCATCCTGCCGTGTGTTCTTGTACTTCTGCACGATTGATAACCAAGCCTGAAATGCCGCATCGAATTGTTCCGCCCTGTCTGCTGGAAATTCATCGTCGTTCATCCGCTTGGCATTGGGCCCGGCACTGATTCCACCTTTAATCCATCTATACGACTCCCGCTCTGACGACTGCAACCGGCGCTTCCACGCGCGCATCCTGTCCTTCTCCGCCGCGCGGACAACTCGTCGATGTTCCTCCACGATGATACCCCGGACTTTCCCAATTGCATCCCACGTCAGCCCCGGCTTCGTAGCGGCCTGCGCTTTCTTGTAGAATTCCGCCTGGCGTGGCGGCGTCGTCGCAGAAAGCTGGGCGGGCGCCGGCGCGTCGCACTGCGTCCGGTCGGATTGCCGGGTCGCGGAGCTGGTCGCAAAGCCCGCGCAATCGGAAATGCCGTTGTGAAACGTCCTGTCGGCAACGGCACCGTAGCTCCCCATTCCAGAAGCTCGCCACGCCGCCGCGTGTTCCTGGCAAGCCTCCGTGACTCCAGCGTCGCCGCAGCAGGGTCGCCCTGGCCCTCCAGCGGAAACGCGTGCACCTAACGCATTCGCACTTTCCCTCTGCCGTGGCCCACTGCTCCTGCTGTAAAGTCGCGACGCGGCCCCCCGCGGCCCGAATTCCTTGGGATGGGCCCCAGACGCCCCTCAGCCCTCCTGCACCATCGTGCCAGGGCCTCGCCCGCGCGCCCCTGCCTGGGGAGATCTGCGATCATCGGGTCCGCGTCCAACTCCGGCGGCGCATGCCCAGCGCCCGGTCTGGAATGCTCAGTTTTGCATCCAACAGCTTCTGGCATATAGCGCACCTGAGCCGCAATTGACGCGGATACCGTTAGCCTCACGAAATGACGGCCTCGATCTCGTAGCCCAGGCTGCACTTCGCACCGTCGCCTAAATATTGAGGCAGTCTGATTCGCAAGGGCCCAATCGATTCGAGATCCACCTCCTTTCGTGCGCGGCGGACCCATGTTCCCCCCACCGAAGCCCCATGAGTTCGCATCGTTCCATCCCCTCGTTGCCCATTCTCCGTGCGAGCTCCGGCACATCCCCAACCTGCACATTGATATCTCCTCCGATCATAATCGGCACATCGCCGCGCATTCCGGCATCATCCGCAACTGCGCATAACATTGCACATGTCTGTCTCCGCTTGTGCTGCTCCCAGCGCGCTGCAGCATAGCCGTAAATAGCGCATATAACATTCGACCGTTTCCCAGCCCCCCCGAAAATCTGCGCGCTGCCATAACCCCGCCTTCTGCAGCATATTTGTCGCAGCCCTTATTCTTACAAGCAACCTTCTGCATCGCCCACGCCGCCCCCCGCTCGCGAAATACAGCCGCGCCAGCGCGCGTGTTCGTCGGCACCGGTGCGCCCCAGATAACGCCATGTGTCTCACATCTGCAATGCAAGGATTTGCGTAAAAAGGTCGTAGCGCGCGATTCCGAAATCATGATGACATCCGCGCCTCTGGCGAAGATACTGTTAGAAATCCTTGGCTTAGCCAGCCCATTTGGATTGTAGAGTTCAGTGACCAGCCGTTGGTCGACACATCCACTCCAGTATCTGCAGTAATCATCGCCAAGGCTACAACTCTTCGTCGTCCTTCTTCCTCTCCTTCGGCGGGGGGGTCTCGCCAGTATGTGGTGGTGTCCTCGCCTCCTTCTGGGGCTCAGCCTTGGGTTTAGGCGCAGACTGCCCCACCGGCTTCGCCGCGTTGAAGAAGTCCAGCTGTCTCGACGCATGAGTCGAAGCCGAAGCCCCCGCGCCTGGTTCTGAACCCCTCGACGCCCGAACCGCGTTCTCGGCCGCCTTCCTGGCTGCAGCTTCGAGCGCTTTAAACTTGATGCTCTACGGCTGTCCCTGCGAGATGAAAGTGAGCTGGGACATGGGCTCCCACACTTGTGGCTAGAAAGACGGTCTGCTTAGCATCGGAGAAGATGATCTCCTTCACCTCCCACTGCAAGGCCAAAAGGGATTCGATCATACCCGCTGTGCCCATTGATATGGGTAGACCTGTAATCTTCCACCGTCCAACACCTGTGATGCACTCGATGCCCTGCGTCCGGGCGAACGCCTCCATCTTGGCCTCGTCCCCAAGTCGTACGGAAAGCCGGCCCGTCTTCCCCTTCTCCGCGAGCCCCATAGCATCTGGCTTCGCCGCAATGTTTAAGGCCTGCTTCAGGATTGTGTTTTCGGGAAGCCACAACAATTCAAAAGTCTCAGTGCTGCGCTGTTTGATGAAGACCCCGTTGACTCCACTGGCCCGAAGAAGCGTGGGTACTCGGGATTGGTGGCGCAGGAATGTGATCGTGCCCTCAACTCTCGACTGGATGTTGTCCACGGCCTCGCTCTCAATATACTTGCGGAAAAAATGCAGGAGAAAGGCCGCAGGGACAGCACCATCGTTCCACCCTCTCCTGGGAGAGAACTTCGCGACCAACTCCGCCATCGTCAGCTTAACCTGCACCTCCTCCCCTGTGTTTTTCATGATCGCACGTTCCCCGAATCCAAGCTGTACTAACCTTCGTTCCACGTTGACCTCCTCGGTACCGCCTCCCTCTGTCATCACTCTGACCCTCTCCTGGATGTTCGACCTCGGGTGGCCTCTCAACCCAAGATTATCCGGGTCGTCCGTAACCACCGCACCCACTGGATGTGCTGTGTTACCCACCTTTTGTAATACCTCTGGAAGCGACTCCATGGGTACTAGCGCAACGCAGGCCTTTGAGCTCATCTGCTGCCAATATACAACTGGCTGTTCCCAGTCCTCCTAGAGAAATACAGTCTGCATTCGTAACTTCGCTGCCTCTGGTAAGGCAGCTCTGACCTACTATTCGAATGTCAGTTCCCGTAGCGGTTCTTCAAAAGCATAGCCTCCCTTCCCCTTGCCTTTCCTCCCACCTTTGCCCCCCCCTCCATTACCGTGCAACGCGTGCATGAGCTTGTTCCACGCTTTGTGTGATATGCGCCACGTGCAGTCGCAATCCGTCTCGTCAGTCATGCTGAATGTGTACATCGCAATGTTTGTAAATTCATAAGCTAAGCCCATGACTGTGATATACTGCGTTCCATGAACATTCGAAGTGGCCGTCCAACGGCCTGGGAGGTACCGCCACGCCTCCACAACTGCGATCGCCCACGGCATACCTCCCAGCATCTGTTCCTGCGGTGCCGTAGAGCCCTGGAGATCCCAGAAACCTTGTAAACAGAAAATCATCATCATGACCTCCTGCTCCTCTGATCTCCCTTCCCCTCGCCCCGTTCCTACTTCATGCTGGCGCTCCGCCCCCACCGAGAGCCGCCGCGAGAGCAGGCTCTTCGCCGTGCCGGGGGAGCCCAGCAGGAAAAGGTGCTCGCCCGAGAGCGCAGCCAACAAGAGCAGTTTGGCCTGGGTGTTGCGTGGCGGCACGGGGGAGGAAGGCCTTGACTCGATGCGGGCTCCTCCCCTTCCGCACTCCTCCTCCTCCTCCTCCTCCTCCTCCTTCTCCTCCTCCTCCCTCTCCTCTTCCTCCTCCTCCTCCTCCTCCTGTTGCTCCTCCTCCTCCTCTTCGCCTCCTCCCCCTCCTCCTCCCTCCTCCTCCCCTCCTCCTCCTCCTCCTCCTCCTCTCCTCCTCCTCCTCCTCCTCCTCCTCCTCCTCCTCCCCCTCCTCCTCCTCCTCTTCCTCCTCCTCCACCTCCTCCTCCTCCATTCTTTCTCTTTATAAATAGCTTGGCCCTGTCGCACCCCGAGGCTAGTTTTTAGGGCGGGCCGGCGGTTTCGCCTAAAACTTCCTCACCATCATGACCCAGAAATCTCATAATTGGCAATTGATTCACAGATGGAGGGCGGGTGGTTTTCAACATTTTGCCCTCGCCTTGGCGCCGCGAACATTCGCTTTCAAAAACTGTAGGAGCTTCACGGATTGAAAGCGAGTCGTTTTTAACGTGTGGCTCTCGCCCTACGCCGCGCACATTCGAACAAAAATGCAAGAGCTTCAAGGACTGAGGGCGGGTCGTTTTCAAGATGTGGCTCTCGCCTTAGCGCCGCGCATATTTGCTTTGCACTTTGCACGAGATTCAAGGGTTGAGGGCGGGTCGTTTTCAAGATGTGGCTCTCGCCTTAGCGCCGCGCATATTTGCTTTTGATATTTGCAAGAGTCGCGGGTTGAGGGCGGGTCGTTTTCAAAATGTGGCTCTCGCCTGAGCGCCACGCGCATTCGCTCTAAACAATTGCAAGGGCTTCACGGACTGAGGGCGGGTCGTTTTCAAAATTTGGCTCTCGCCTTAGCGCCGCGCACATTCGTTTAAAACATTTGCAAGGGATTCGCGGATTGGGGGCGGTTCCTTTTCAAAATGTGGCTCTCGCCGTAGCGCCGCGCGCATTCGTTTTCAAAATTAGCAGGAGTTTCATGGATTGAAGGCGGCTCCTTTTCAAAATGTGGTTCTCGCCTGCGCGCCGCGCACATTCCGGACACAACATTTCAAAAGTTTCACAGATGCCCTTGGTGGCGTATCAGAAATGGTGTTTTGGAAAGGTTCACGATTTTGAGGGCGCAACAAGCAGGATGATTCGCGGAGTTGAGGTCCCAGGAAGTGCGTTCTGGCACGATTCAGGATCGTCAAGACGCAAGAGTCAGGTACATCCGTGGCATTGGAATACCGAGAATAATGTTTTGACATGCTTCAGGGTCTTCAAACGGTTGTCTTCCAACGTGGCAGGTCCCTCTATGGAAGTGAACCGTTGTATGGGGCCTATGAGGACGGAGCTTTGGGGGAGGGTTTCTTCCAACATCGTTGGTGACTCTTGGGTTTACACTGGTCCTCCTCCTCCTCCTCCTCCTCCTCCTCCTCCTCCTTCTCTTCCTCCTCTTCCTCCTCTTTTTCCTCCTCCTCGCAACGCCACTGCCCCAGGGTGACAGATGGAGCTCCAGTTCGAGGTTCGAGCAGGAGCTCGGAGGCGAAACGTAAACATCAAAGCAGTGCAACGGTTTCGTCAATATCGACTGATACCTGCTCTTTGTTACAATGAAGGTCTTCCTTGAGGGGCCGCATCTTACGAACACTCGTGACCGTGAACGGTCCGCATGCTTTGCCAAGCTCGACGACATGCGCTCCACTGCTATGAAACTTTCAACACAAACAAATGCCCTCCACCTCCTCCTCCTCCTCCTCCTCCTCCTCTTCTCCTCCTCCTCCTCCTCCTCCTCCTCCTCATCATCATCATCATCATCATCATCATCATCCTCCTCTTCTCCTTCTCCTCTCCTCCTCTCCTCCTCCTCCTCCTCCTCCTCCTCCTCCTCCTCCTCCTCCTCCTCCTCCCCCTCCCCTCCCCCCTCCTCCTCCCCCTCCCTCCTCCTCCCTCCTCCTCCTCCTCCTCCTCCCCTCCTCCTCCTCTCCGCCTCCTCCTCCTCCTCCTCCTCCTCCTCCTCCTCCTCCTCCTCCTCCTCCTCCTCCTCCTCCTCCTCCTCCTCCTCCTCTCTTCTGGCGATGGAGACGGATCGCGCCTCCACCGACCGCTCCATGAGGCCCTTCGTGAGCTGGTTGAAGGCCTGTCGCGTCTCTTCCTCCTGCTCGTCGTCGTCGTCGGCGTCGTCGTCGTCCTCCTCTTCCTGCTCCATATCCTCCTCTATCCCTCCTCCCTATTAGCTTCCTGTTGCGCCACAGGACGTGTCCGTAGGCCGAGCCGGGCGTTTGGGTTGGAAGCCCCTGACAAGTGATTATCCCGAAGCTCAAAACCAACAGCTACACGGGTAGAGGGCTGGTCGCTTACAACTTTGACTCTTGCAAGAGCGCAGTGCGCATTCGTCTTAAGCGCGTCCAGCAGGTGCACGGGTGGAGTGATAGTGGTTCCAAAATGTGGCTCTCGCCCGAGCTCCGCGCACATTCACAGAAAGCTTTCAGAATTTACACGGATGGAAAGCCAGTGGTTTTCAAAATACGGTCCTCGCTGAAGCATCGAGCGCGTTCAACCTAAAAGCCTCTAACAGTTGCACGGATGAAAGCGACCACGTTTTCAAAACAGTGTTTACGCCAGAGACGTCCTCAACAAATCATAACTCAACTGCAGCATTGTGCAATGAATGCGCGGATGGAGGGTGGTGGTTTTCCCAGATGTGGCTCTCGCTCGAAATTTACCGTGGGCGTACGACCAGACATTAAGAGTTGTGCAACAGCTACGCGGACGCAGGGAGGTTTATTTTCACAACGGGGTTGTCACTGGGCACTTCCTTGAAATTTGAAACCCAACTCTGTCGCACTCGCTATAGCTCGATAGATGGAGGGCGGTTTATTTCAAAACGGGGGTGCCGCCTGAATTGCGGTCCAATACGGCGCTCGTTTTTCAAGAAAGAGCTTCCCGCAACGATGAGAATTCTTGCAGGCACTGATGTGAAGGGGCACAGGACGGGAGGAGTTCGTGCAACATCGTTGGTACAAATTGGGCCTACTCTGGTCCTCCTCCTCCTCCTCCTCCTTCTCCTCCCTCCCCCCTTCGTCCTGCTCCTCCTCCTCCTCCTCTTCCTTTTCCCCCTCCTCCGTTTCCTCCTTTCGCCCCCGCCCCCCCCTCCCCGCACCAAGACGAAGCCAGGGGATGTATCCCGATGTTCTGCGCCCTACCTCGCCCGATGCCCAAAAAGCACGCGCCGAAGGCTGCGCCTCCGGCAAGCCGGGCATGCTCTGGCCACACGAGCGCGCGGTCCGGGAACCCCTGCGCCGCCGCAGCAGCTCGCTCTCGGCCTCCGCGGAAGGGGGGGGGGGAGGGCGGGGGGGGAGAGGGGGGGAGGAGGAGGAGGAGGAGGAGGAGGAGGAGGAGGAGGAGGAGGAGGAGGAGTGCACGTAGTCAAAGAGGAAGAGACGAGGGCAAGCGGGCAAGAAGCGAGACGAGGGCAAAAAGTCCGTCCGCTCCTGTCCGTCCACCGCGCGTCTACTTCCAGAGCAGGGCTTTGGCGGCGCTCAACCCTTCAGCTATCGTAGCTGGGGTCGGCGAGGCGTGCTTCATTTTGTTGAAGAGGTGAAAGGCGAGCGCGATCCGCTGAACCGACCGCGTTAACGAGAGCTCGTTCGCGGGTTCAGACGGATAGGCTGCGGCGGGGCCCAAGCCCCAATGTGTAAGCGTGTTGCGGAGGGGGGGCAGGCTCAGGAGGATCGAGCAGGAGAGGTAGTGAGGGAATGAATCGGGTGCCGCTGGGCACCCGAACACACGCGGCTTCTGCTGGAGAATGTGCACGCGGTGGGTCGTTGTCCATCCGCCTGCGAGAGTCTTATATGCCGCCCAGCGCCAGCTCGGGCGGGCGGTGCGCAGGGCATTCGTGAGAGCAGCCCAGCGCGTCGCGAGCTCTGGGGGCGGCGGCGGCTGAGAAACGCCCCAGGCTGCAATGCGCTTCTCGAGCGTGACTGTGAAGGGCGATGAGAAGGAGGCCCGCTGCAGCGTGAGCGCGACCGCGCGCTGCACCTTGGGGCGGCGCGGTGGCTCGGCACTCGGGGCCTCGCGAATTTCACGGGCAGCTGCGCGGTTCGCCGCGGCCACGGCAGCAGCTGGAAACGGGGCGGCACGCTTGCCACGCGACAAGGCATGGTAGAATTGCACGATGGAAGGGGGCTCTTCCCAGAAGGGCGGAGACCACTGCCCTTGCCCCCACCGATGGAAGGAGTGAGCCGTACTCTCCTCCCACGCGGTGTCCTGCAGGCGAGTGAAGAATGGCTCCAATTCCCGAAGGAGCGTGAAAGTGGCTGAACGAATGGCGGCGGCGACAGTTGAAATCTGAGCTGAGCGAGGGACAGGAGGCGGGCACCACTCCGCCATGGCAATGAGATCAACTTTGCGAAATGTGTTAGGCGGCAGACTGAGCATCTTGTGGAAAATGCAATGTCCACGGCGGGCAATCTTCTGATCGAGCGGGAAGGACTGCGAGACATAGCTGAGCGTTGAAACGGCTGAGGTGTTATGAAGGCAAACGGTGGCGTCACTGCCACTCTGCACAAGCTGAAAAGTATTCCCGCGCTGCCACCATTTCTGCCCAGGGTCGAGCCATTGGTGAGCGAGGGAGGCCGCGGGTCCGAGGAAGGTCCCGAGGTACTTGGCTCGCCCCGAAACCGAAAAGCCACCCCAGGAAGGACAGAGTTCGGTCAGGGGCGCTTTCGTTTGAGCGATGGTGGCAGGCGACGTCTTCGCCCAAAGCGGAACGACGACACACTTGCGAGGCTTCAGGGAGAGGAGCGCAAGCTCCTCCGCGGCGGCAAAGGGCTCAGAGGCAGCGCGCAGCGTGTTGAACGAGAACGTGAGGAGGCCAGCGTCGTCCGCGCAGACGCCCAGGTAGCCCTTGTCGTAGTCAGGCACGCCGTCGACGGTCTCGACGAACGAGGCGATGTGGCGAACGAGCGGGTCCATGGCGATCGCCCTCGCCGAGCCGCTCGCAGGGCAGCCCTGAGCCACGCCAGACCCGATCGGGAACATGAAGTGGCGAACGCCGTCAACTTTGAAGAAGCTGTTTGGGGGCGTGGCACAGCTGGCGAAAGAGGCTCATCAGGCCCTCGAGGACGCCGAAGCGCTCCAGCGACGCGAAGAGCCAGACGCGCCCGAGCGACGGAAACGCCGCCGCGAAGTCGAAGCTGGCGAAGACGGGCTTGTGCTTGTCGGCCTCTGGACGAATTCCAGCGCGGCGCGTCTCGGCGTCGAGGTTGACGATGTGCTTGGTGGAATTGCGGCCCACGACAAAGCCCTGCTGCGAGTAATGAGTCCGCTCTGCCACAGCGGATTTGATGCGGAAGTTGGCCGCACCTGCGATGGCCTTGATATCTGTGTTCTTGAGGGACAGCGGGCGTGTGTCCTCAGGCAGGCGGTCCGTGGTGAGCTCGCCTGTGAGGTTGTCGCCCTTCGACAGGAACGCGAAATCTGAGTCGTTCAGGTCGTGGATGAAGTCAGGGTTGGGGCAGAGGTGCCAGGCAAGGTCCTCCAGCAGGTCCAGAGACGCGTCCACGGCGAGCCAGGCGCGGCGCGGGCCCAGGCGCGGACGGCGCCGCGCGAAGCAGAAAGCCTCTGATGTGCGACTTGGTGGGCGCGCCGACGTCGATGATGGGATGGCTGGGCATGTGCTCGTCGATGTACTGCTGGACCTTGTCGGCGTCGACGTGCTTGCGCTCGAAGACGGGCCGCCAGTGAGCGCGGAGAGCATCCACCATCGCACAGCTCTCTCTGGCTACCCCTGGGTGGCCCTCGGGATCGGTGGTTTTGATTCCCTGGAGGACCGGGCGGCGCTTCCAAGGGGCCCAAAGCAGGGCCCTGCGCTGGGAAGATCGGGTGATCTTCCTGAGCTTCTTGGGGTCGATGGCTCCTGGGGAGCCTCGCGGCAGCTGGGCTGCACGCTGTGCCAGAGAGCGCTGCCGAGCCTCGAAGTCACGGTGCAGCGCGGCAGACTTCATGGCGAACTCGGCAGCATCCGAGAGCGCGATGTGTCCGTCGTCGATGGTGAGGAACTTGGCGCCAAGCTCGGTGGTGGACTGCAGACGTCGTGCAAGGCGAACGTCCTGGCGCCAGACCGCGCGCGAGATCGAGCGCGCCGTGATCACCTGGCCGTCGGTGTAGTTTGACTTGCCGATCTCGCCGGCTGCGCGGCTGACCCAATCATCACGGACGAGCCGCGCGGCCTCAGCCATGAGGGTCTTGTGCGCGCGCCAGCAGTTCTCGATCGCCCTGTGGCGCGTGACGGCGCGGTCTAGCAACTGCTGGAGGTACTTGGCGTACGATGGGTCGCGGAAGATCGCGGGCGGGATCGCCTGCTCCTCGATCGGCGTCTTCGGCTCGATGCCGATGGAGTACGAGACGATGGCGTGGTCGCTGAGGAGGCTATCCGACAGGATGGCAGCATCGCGTGCGATGGTGACGCACGAAGTCAGCTCAAGCATCGCATGCGACGGCAGGCTGATGAAGATCCTGTCGATGGCCGACGCGGAGTAGTCAGACTTGTTGAAACGAGTCGGCAGGTCAGACTCGATCTCGGGCATGCTGTCGAAGAGGGCCTTCCACAAGGGCTGCTGCTGCCGCGCGCTATTGTCCAGCGCCAGGCGCGCATGCTGTGGCTGCGGTTAGAAGAAGCTGTTCGGCGGGCGGCTGGCCGTGTTGAAGTCGCCCAGCGCGAGGAGGGTGCGGTGCTGGTAGTTGGCCTCCGCCCACGCGCGGTGCAGGTGCCGGGAGCGCTGAATGCGCTCGCGACCCCGCGCGTCAATCTCGTGATTGTGGACGTGCACGATGACCATGGAGTTGCGCGAGGTGGCGTTGGTGATGGCGACCGCCTGGGCGCGACCTTTGATGATCTCCTCGCGGCTGAGGGTTGGGAGCTGCGCAGGTTGCAAGAGCTCGAGCTGCGCATGCGTGAGCCACGGTATGAGCAGAGCGACGCCGCCCGTGCCAGTGAGGGCCTCGTCGTCGTCTGCCGCAACGAACTGGGAAAAGAAGAGCTTGTGCGGGCACGGCTGCGTGTCGACCCAGGCGCGGAGGGACCTCCTGCAGGGAGATGACGGCGCCCTTCCGCATGTACTGCTGCAAGGCCGCCGGCTTGCGACGGCGCTTGGAGCGCTTGTGGCACATGGGGGCCCTAGCGTTCCACGTGATGAATAAGCTGGGCCTATCGTCCTCGACTGGCTTCCACGGCGCCCAGGGGTGGCTAAACCCGCCACGTGGCCTCCGCTGCGTCCGCGAAGAGCGCCTGGAACGACGTGGGGATGGCGCCGCGATCGAGGTCGCGGAAGGTGGCGAGCTCGGACGCCTTCTCGTTCCACTCTAGGATGGCGGGGTCGGCTTGTCCCTTGACGTCCAGGCGCACGACGGCCATGGCGTTGCAGTGGATCTCGCCTTTGGCTCGGTATGCTCTACATGACGTTTGGGGATGATGGTGTTGAAGGAGCTGGAGGAGTTTCTTGCATTGGATCTTGGTGCGGATCTGCTTTGGCGACTTGTCGGGGTTGAGGTAGATGTCCGTCGGCGCGCCCGAGGTGTCGACGGAGGTGAAGCGCTTCCATTTGCCTCCAGCATCGCGTAGGGCTCGGGTGAGCGCCAGTGCGCGCGGGATGGCCACGTCGCGTCCACCTTTGACTTGTAGCACAAATCTGCGCGTAGGTTCGTCTCCGTGAAGTTCGACGGCGTCGGAGCCCAGGTTGGCGGATGCGATCCACTCCTGCAGGTCGTTGAGGAGCGCGTCGGGCGCGATGAGCCGCTGCGCCCCGACGGTGAAGATCGCGGGGTCGATCTCGCGGCCCCAGTCGGCGAGCCTGGCGAGGTCCGCGATCGGCGCCGGGGCCTCGGCGAGCGCGAGGGTCTCTCGCATCTGGTCGATCTGCTGCCACATCTTTTTCTGTTCACCTGCTTGGCGGTCTTGTTCTCTACGAGTGCGGGCGACGACATCATGAAGGGTGTCAAATCGGCGCTCGGTAGCTTGGACTTGCTGTGCGAGAAGTTGGCGAAAGCTTTCGCGTGAATCATTGAGCAGTTGGTTGGCTTGAGCTTGGAAAGTACTGGCGGCGAGTGCGACTTGAGCTTGCGTGGGATCTTGAAGAGCTTTGTCGAGTTCTGGATCCAGACCTGGTAGACGAACGGGTTCGCCTGGAGTGGCAGTTTCGGTATCGGCGGCGGCTCCGACGGCGGCAGCTCCTCCAGCGGCTGCTGCACCTCCAGCGCGCCACGGGTCAGCAGCAGCGAGTGGGTCATGGCGTAGTGCTTCACCTGGTAGTTGAGACGGCGGCTC